GATTTAGAACAGAGTTCACATTTAGTTTAAATTTGGGATATTTTGATGAAATTAGTGCTCCCAGGAATCAACAGAATTCATGATAATGGTGACATATTGCGAGACATAATTATGAACAGATGGGAATAATGGGAGGGCCAAAAATTTATTCTTGGCAGGATGTGGGAACTTTTAGTGGCACACAAGAAATATTTTGTCATTTGTGGACCACAGCTTAATGCAAGTGACTTGGATGTTGTTGGACTGTTTGAAAAGTTGATATAGTCTTAATGCAGTATATAGTAGGAGAGACTGATGGAAATGCACAGCCACAATTTGCATAAACTTCCAGTGCTTTTCAAATTTAATTCCAGGGTCAGGAAATTGCAGTGTTGGAGAATTTAAAGGGGCGCTTAAAAATACTACTGTACGTGCAGAACAGATGGATTTATAAATCCTGTTGCTGAATGGTTTACAAATTAGTATCCACACTCTTTTAAAAAGTTATTTAAAATGCTGCTGTTCTGTATGTAATGGTCTTAAGTAGGACTGTCTGACGACTAAATTGTGGACCTCCCTTATCCATTTAGTCAAAGTAAGTTGTTGGTGCCTGACCTCCAGTATTTCTCTTCCTCCCTCTGCATTCTTCTCCTGTACATCACTGAAGTCTGTAACATGGCTAAACATGTATTTAAGCACTGTTTGAGAAACAGACAGGAATATTTTCTTTCATGCTGGTGTAGAACCTTGTGTTTTGTTGCTACACATACTAACCGCCATGCCTGTATAAGTGATGGGAACAACGAAGGAGAAATTCATCCACGCCCTGTATTGCTTTAACTCTCGTATTGTGTTTAGTCTAAGGCTGTGATGGAGGAGTAGCAAGTGGTTTACGTGGTAGACCGTCAATCAGTGTTTGTGCTGTGAAACATATCAAGTGTTGCCAGTAATCCTGCACATACACATAATTTTCGCAACATGTTTTGGGCCGTTTATGTATGTTGGCTGCAGGGAACCCAATGCAGGGTGGAGACCCCTCATCTGTAAGAGCATACATATACTGCCTACTGGGTTCTAAGAAATGCCAGTAGCATGAATGGAAGAATGGAATAACATACATGTCTTTCATCTACGGAGCTGCATTCTGCCAGTTGATTTGTTTCCTTCCACAGCCAGCCACAACTCTCTTCACCTACAGAAGAGGTTTGCTTTTAACTAGGATTATAATTTTACATTTCTGCAGGATAAGTAATTTCTTTATCCTTGCAGAGTGGTGATATGCTAAAGTACTTTGGTCTGTTCCTGAAGAAACGTGCTCAATTATTCTGGGCAATGCAATTGAAATATCTGATAGCAGCTTGAAGTGACTACTTTTATTGTGTAAGGAATTAGAAGCCATGGTATGATGCTTGCTTACGTTGGAATGTTCCTGTCTGCACTGAAGAAAATATTAACATACATGTCAAATTTTATTGAGAAAAGGAAGAATAATGAAAAAATGAATTATAATGCATCCTTTGCTGCTTATTAGCATATGAGAAAATAGCGATGTCTAGAAACCAGAATTGGTTATAAGACACATAAAATTGTGAATTGAAGAAAGAGCTGATTTCTGTTTTGTAGATAAAACATAAAAAGTGAAGCATTGATATGTATCAGACATGTAGTGGTGGCTAGACAGAGAAGTCTAAATGAACAAGAAAATTTGCTGGAATGATAAAATTTATGAAGAAACAAGAAGGAAACAATTAAGGTGGAAATAAAGATGGGTGACTGATAGGAGGTATCTTCATCTGTTGTCGGGAAGACTGTGTGTCACTCTCTTGAATACATTCAGGTAGATAAAATGACAAAGCAAAGCAAAGGAGATTGGACTGACATTGTGCTGCAAATGAGGATAGGAACAGAACCAGATGAAGTGCAGTGATTGCTTAAGAGGAGCAATTGCAGTTGAGATACGAGGCACACTGCAACAGATTATTAACACTGTTGAACCACTTTGAAATTTTCGGCAGTAGATGTTAACAGAATATAAAGGGGCAACCCCACTACTTGAAATGTCTGACATTGGGAAAGTGAAAGTTGATGGCAAGAGTTGAGAGTGTGGGTGTTGTTTCTGTGTGGTGTTAATTCCGTCATAACTGAGTAGAAAGAAAATGTGAGGTATGCGTAGGGGAGAGAGTGAATTTAAGTGTCGAAAATGAATGAAATAGAGTGCGGTAGAAATATGTAAATATGTGTATTTTCAGTGGACTCCTTTATTCGTGGTTGTTGCAGTTTACATTCTTCTAAACTGAAAGTATTGAGTGAAGATACTTATTATTTTATTTCAATGCTTCAAAGCAGGTCTGGTTTACAGCTTCCCATATTTTTCCAAGATCAAACTAATGTTCCAATGTGCAATCATCATAACCACATTTGGGGTGGGGGGGTGTATGAGAATGATTGTGACCGATAATTGACAATGGATTGAATAGAAGAATGATGTAAATAAAGTTCTGTAGTAAAAAGTCTTGTGATTCTTATAACTATTTGCAGTAATTACCTTTATTTAGCTATTTAATTGTGTTTTGAGGCCAGTGTTTGTAGCTGTAAGAACACCACAGCCAGTTGTGTATGTACCAACTGGATTGTAATAAAGACAAAACGAGTTTCCCATTCTTCCTTCATTCCTGTCTTCATTAAGTGTATTTGATTCATTCATTGTGATTTAATTTTCTGTGTTGCCTTCATTTTAATGCACAAATTTCCCCCATGTGCCATGTTGGTTTTTCACTGCAAAGTAAAGTATGGGTGAAACTAATTACTGTCACATTCACAAGTTGTCAAGAGAAATAAATTTTGCTTCTGTGTGTTAGAGGTACTTGCAACTTAAATGGATATTGTTAACAATACAAAGTAAGATCAGCTTGAGTCCAAATAGGTTTGCAAGGTCATTTAGTTTAGCAGGGAGTTTTATTCTAGCTCTGTTGAATTGTTTTCTTATCAACTCCCACTTTATATTATACATAATTGTGATGGGTCAGCTATTAAATCCCCTGATTAGCTGCCCCTGGAAGTATTTCAGATTACTTGGATAATATCAGTTTTTGCTTTAAAACAAAATTCCTGTTATGTCAGGAATTTCTATGTTGCCCTCTTAATGTTCTACCATGCTTGGGTACTAAATTCCGTGTACTGTTGGATGGTAATTCAAATACTTGTAATTCCTGGTACTTTAACGAACTTTACGTAATTGTCATGTAGTTTGTGTCGCAATTTTCGAATTACCATAGAATATAAATTGCTTGAATTGAAGGAATCATATGTGGTGGTAGTTTGAATTATATTTTTCCTTTGAGACAGGACCAGGAGACCACTACTGTCTGGCGTCTAAAAATGGGTTTTGAACTCCATTTGTTCTGTAGAACACCTGGTGGCACCTTTTGGATAATTTGTGAATTAAAAATTGCTTGAAAGGATATTCGTGCCATCTGATGAAGTAGCTTAGAACTAGATACTCTTTCCATGGTAATAAAAATGGCCCCCCGGGAAATGTATAGTAGCTTGCTGGGTGAAGGGGAATTGGCCCCCCGGGAAATGTATAGTAGCTTGCCGGGTGAAGTGGGAATTTAATATTCCTGGCTCCCTAATAAATTTTTTAAAAATACGCCTGTAAAATGTTTCATTTTGCCACCTGGCGGGTGAGGTGAGAACTACAAATTCCTTGTACGCTAGTAAGTTTTCAAATAATACCGCCTGAGAATCCGACCGTATTGCCACCTGGTGTGTAAAGTGGCTACTAAAAATTCTTGCTACGCTAATAAAAAATTTTAAAAATGGCGCCTGACAATTCGATCGTATTGCCATCTGGCGGGCAGAGTGAGAACTAGAAATTGCTGCCACGCTAGTAAAAATTTTTACTAGTGTGGCAGGAAAAATTTTCTGCTGTAGAGACATCTGTTATCTAAAAAGAGAACTTCATAAACTAATTTCTATTATGGCTACTAGATGTCTCTGTTGTATCTTCTTTCGCCGGGCGCTGTACTCGAACTGCTGATGTTGTGATCTCTAGCCCGGTGTCTTACCCCCTCGGCCACCAGGCTGTTCTTGGTAGAATAATTTTGGAACTTCCTGATGAAGTGTGTAGGAACGGATTGTTTGCAAAATGAATTCATATATTTTTCTACCTTGGACCACCTGCCTCTGGCTTTATGCTGGACTCGAACTGCTGATCATAGCTCTACTAGTCCCTTGCCTTAGCGATTGTGACCACGAAGGTATTTCACTTAAGAAATCGAGGAAACTCCCTGATAAATTCTCATGACCTTCCTGGCCGCCACTTGTCTAGTGAGCTCCTACCCTATGCGCCCCCTGCCGAAACTTCTAGGTCGCCATACTGATACTGTATACAAGCTCTTGCATTCACAGGACGACAGCCATATTGGCGAAAATATGTTATCACAAGTACCAGCGCCATGATGATATTCAATCCAATAGTGGCACTGCAGGCGACTTTTACAGCTAATGGTAGCGCCATGTTTTTATATGACGTCACAGCATACGTCATTCATATACTCATAACGCTGCGAGCAAAATTACTGCATAAACAAACTTGCAACTTCACGATACATTAATCACGTATGTTTTTAAGGCATATACGTGAAAATGGCATCACAATAAAATGTATCACAAGAAAGTCACGAAACATACATTTTGGAATTATCTGCAGTGCAACTATTGAATTTAATATTACCATGGCACTAATACTAATGACAACAATTTTACCAATATTGGGGGTTTCTACAGTGAATACAAAAGCTTTAATCAGTACTATGGCTGGTCTAGAAATTTCTGGAAGGAATGGCAGGTCTTCATGTGCTGAGAGAGAGAGCTAGCCTGCAGTGTATTGGAAGGGGACTGGGATAAAAGGGCTGTAGCAATTTATACAGAAATGGTAGAAGACTGGTCAAGCAGTCAATCTGTGTTTACTGTGATACTGAATTTTATTTACATCACAAGAAATAGATTAAACAGCATGATTACTGTTTGATGGCCTCAAGTCTGTACACGCATGAGAAAAATCATTAATGATATTTCTATAGATTATACATTCACACACACACACAAATCTAATACAATTTTACTCAATGTTTTACACATCTGATGTACAGGTAATTGCAGACTTTCTGCATTTTCACATAACATATACATGACCAGACAGACAAATGAACAGTATAGAAATAAGAGGTTTGAGGTTGTCATGGCAGTGAAGATGCTGATGTTCTTGATTTTAAAAGGTGGATTCATACCTAGATACCAACATTTTGGACAAATATGTCATCTTCAGACTCACTGCCAAGACATCCTCAAATCCTACAACATACCATCTGTGACAACCCAGGACAACATAAGCTGCGACTTGATGTACTATGTGGTATAGTGAAAGCAGAAATCAAATTACATGGTCATAAATTAAACTTGTATTATCACAGGCAATTTCCACCCTTACTGACTATCACATTGGACCTGCTAAGAGAGCAAGATATGATTTTGCAGGAGAGTAACTCGGGTACTTATTTTACACAAACTTGCAACTTTATGCATCAGCTGGAGGAAATTTTGTATTAACAATGGTAAGGTGAGGCGGTAAGGAGCTATGGAGCATTCACCTGTAATATCAGATTTCTCGGTACCTATTTACACAGAGACGAACTATACCAAAATGAAATTACTTTACCAAGAGTAATGTTTCAGTGTGATGGAGAGTTTTTAAAATTTCAAGACATGTTGGTTTTGCTCCCTTTGTCAAATACAAAAGATTGTTTGCCTAAGGAGGAAATATACCTAAAAATTTCTGACATCAATAAACCTGGCTAATCATATTACAAAAGTAACATTCTGGGTTCAAAATTGCTCTTCTTCTTGCAGGGGGTGTTCATAAATTTTACACAGAAAATTCTGGATATGTCGTCACCAGGAGACATCACACCTAGAAATGTGTAATATCCTTAAGTGTTTTTCTCTTTATTGGGTATTGTTTACAGTGACAAGAATGTTTTTTATATATATATATATATAATGCTTATCCATTTACAGATGGCATAATACTGGAAACTTTATATTTCTGTCTGGTGTTGACATACTTCACCTACCTTCCCCTATCTGTGTTCATTTCAGGCACTGGTTGCTTAGATTTGCCTGTGCCTGACTCCATGGCTATTGTTATGAACTCCTCAGCTATTTCACGGTCGAGTCCCGTGTATGTTTGAGCCACTTCCTCCTCTGTCACTGGCCTCTGATGTTCTACTGGGACTGAAGCAGCACTGCCGTGCTTCCTCTTGTTTGTGCCACGGCGTCCTCTTCGAACAATGTTGTGATCTCGTAAGCATTTTGTCCTCTCCTGTAAAGTTTAGTTTCAATGAAAATCTGAAGATGGACTTTTCTTACATAACGATACTGGAAGACATGCGGGCACAATTATCAATTCTATGACATACAGTAAAATATATTGTGGCCAGAATATAGAACTGTGTAAGCTCAAATTTGAAATTTAATGTTAAAAGATAAAGCACAGTACTGAGTGGTCTTCTGGGTTCTGCTATACCATGTAGTGTTCTTGGCAGTTACCAATGTTTCACCTTAAGACTCTCATAATGTCTCTTAAAGAACTGAACAGTTACTCCAAAAATTAATTGATTACTTTAGATGGCTTCTACTTTCATATACCTTTGCTGGTGCATGCTTTGATAAAATCCACATTTCTATGGACAAATATTTTTACTGCAGCGGCAGTAGAAGCATGGAATTTAATACTTCTGTAAGCCAGTTCCCTTTTCTTGTCCAGAGGAATACAATTCCTTTATTGCACTGATTCTGTGTTTCACAAGATTTCATATGGGCTTTTCATTCTCAGCGTTTGTTTTGGATTATGTGAGAGTACCACATTTTATGGGGTATAAGCCAATGAAGTGAAGTGGCACCACGTTGTCACGTGACTCACAAATGTAAACAGGTGTACCATGCTCAAAAGTCTCAGCACCAAGAAATAAAATTTGTAACCGAGTACTTTTCTTTTTTCCCTCCTAGTACAACTTTCGACTGAATTACTACATCTAGCAGGAAAAACATTTTATGTCCCACATATTTCTTCAGTATAATGAATTGAAAAAATAAGACATCAAAACATTAAATGGTCTTCGCTGACTCTAATGGACACCTCTAGTAGCTATAATATATAAGTTTCCTACGGTAAGAATACACTAACCAATCTCTTAGTCACACGAACAGATATGCACTGAAATAGAGTCCTATGTGATGCAAACTATGAGTTTTGAACATTTTGTTCATGAAGTAGAACACGTGAGACGCTAGAATGCATCAAGCCTGTGGGGGTAGACAGCTATAGTTTAATTCCCAGAAGGGTTAGGGATGTTTCTCAAGATGACTATCTAGGATTTAACACCATATTTGGTCCATACTTGCTGTTGTGAGAACCTGAAATCTCAACTAAAAGTACTTCTGAAGATGGCTGTCTTCATATTCACTGCCATGAGAACCTGAAATCCTACAGGATTTCTTCACAACTACATCAAGATTACACAGTCTCCAATTCAACAGGTGTTGGACACCCTTTCCCCATGAATAAAGTGGCTGCTGTGATGCATCTTCAACTAGTCTAATGTTAAAGTGCGTAACTTTGTCTCCACACCAACTACACGCCTCCACGAACGAAAATTCACTTACCGCAGTGCCACCGAGAGTTTTCACTGGTCTTGACATCATGTAATGTGGGGGGACCAGAGGGTTGAGAAATGGAGCATTTGGTAGGTGGTAGCCAATCACAGACGGTGGTGGAACTGGAGGTGGTGCCTGCAGAGTGAATATTGGTCCACAGGGACCTTGTACCTGCGGACAAACAAGGGGCCCAGGCCAGTATAAGCCACAAATGTAAACTACCAAAGTATCAGACAATGGAGAGAGCACAGTACACGTGTAGAAATTAACTGTGTTACATGATTAATCGATCACTTAATGTGCACACTTTATCCATTTATGCATTTGCTGATGTCATGGTTTGTATGTTTCGTGTTTTAATTTTATTGCAGATTGTCAGTGTACATTTAAATATAAAGACTGTTTCAACATGTCTCTATGCTGCCTAACTAGAAATGGCACAATATCAATTACTATATATTCAATTTTCATAAGATGCGTCTAGTATTAATTCAACAATAAATCACTAAATTAATGATCCTACTTTTATTTTTTTATGGCACATTGCTTCAAAGCTCCACACATCTGTGCTACAGAGTGATGGACAGACTATAATTATTTACACAGATGAAATCTGAACGTATGATCAGTATTTATAAACAAATCAAAGCTCAATCTACACGTTTTCAAATGACAACTGCACAGCATTGGCAACAAAGAGACTACAATAAAAAGTGATTCTATAAGACTCAGCCATGCACACAGCTTTCCCCAACAGACCGGTCCAGTAGCATCCCAGAGAAAGTCTGCCCATATTCCAGGTGCAGCACGTCTTTTGCCCCAGGCTTTCTGAAGAGTGGTCTACTTTGAAAGTAACTTGTAACTATGAAGGCCAGAAATTACAAAACATTCAAAATGAGCTAGATTCTCATTTGTGGCCAAGTGTAAAGGTTTCGTGCTTTTCAACTTCCTGTCCTCGGTCTTATGGAGATATTAGGATGAAATGTTCTTTGGTTCATTCAGCCACGCATGTCACGTTCTAAGTCGAACAATGTCAAATGAGAATCACTATGATGATTAAGATGAATTTAAAGGAAGTGGTCATGGATTACTTTAAAGCACCCAGCTTCTGAGTACAGGTTTTAAATGACAAGTATTCTTTCTTACCAGCGAGAAAAATTTGTTTGGAAGGAAGAATGTGAATAGTCGAGCGGTGAACAACTGCTATTTTATTAAAAAATAAATAAAATGGAAATTGCCTGAACGTCTGTAGTTTGTACTTTTACCTCCAAATAAAAACTACACACTGGAGGAATAGCAAATCGTGACAAGAGTTAGCCATGTCACCAGCATGTGAACTGAACTGTACCAGAACGCAACTGATGTCAGTGATAAGCCAACTAACTCTTACTCCCAGACTTACAGTCATCAAGTAAACCCTTCAACTGTGACCTGCCAGCCTTCTGAACCATAACACAACGAACAGAGACTGGCAGCCTTTTCAGTATTCAGCCCTAAAACAAACCTGACAGATTAATTTGTGAAAGGTCAAAAGTCCACCAAAAATAAAGATTCTGAAGGACTCACACAAAAGTGCGGAGGACCAATTCTTTAAAACCATTTCATTTGCTCCATTCATTCAGGAATTGGGTCTCCCTGGCAAAACTACAGACCTGCAGTACATACAAGACCAACTCACCGGTGGCTGCGTGATCAGCAGCACGTTCTGCCGACGCTGCTGCCCAAGCCAGTCGCTGATGAGCGTTTCCTTGCTGCTTGTGCTGTAGAATGATCCAGCAGGCTCAGGCGAGTCTGGAAGTGGCTGCTTCTCATCTCTACGTCTAGCACACGGACACACTTGGCGATAGCAGCGAAAACCAGACACGATCGTCACCAGGCACTGTGCACATGCCATGAGCAGCAGGCCACAGCTGGCTAACAGGGGTGCCCAATTGGGGCCATCATTAATATCTGTATCAGATTTCACCTGAGACAGAAGAAAAGCATATTTAGTGCCATTCTCAAAGCAAGATAAGAAAGGGAAAAGGCTTCCTTTCTTCCCAGCTGCATTTACAGCTAAATGCAAATAAACAAGTGGACCCTGTTATCTGTCATTTCAATCCAGCAGATCCTCAGCGAGCATCCAGACAACCGTACACGCTCTAACTCTGGCAACTACAGTGTCAAAATGTTGTGTCGACAAAAGATAATGCCCAAGCCTGAGAGCCAGT